AGAGGAAACTAGAGGGGGAAACAGAGCAATTAATGGCCACACTTTGGGCCTACTAAAGAGAGTATTTCAGGGATAGATTAAAGAATAAATGGGGGGATAATGCTGGCTTGATGAAGGGATCGCATTAAGCACTAAAAGAGGCTGAGAATGAAAGGAATACAAGGAAATTAATTTTCCTTTTGATTGTTAGATTATGGTCCTTTGAATGCAACAATCCACTAAGACAGGGCTATAGAAGCTCCGATATTTATTTAGACCACAGAATCCTACCTCATAGCAAAGTAAAAAAAATCAAGAGAACCCACCACTCAATTTAAGAACTCAATTTCCTCAACTCTCATTACCAAGTTACTTCCTTCCAGCATTTATGCTTGCTCCCAGGATCACATCATCCTGTTTCTAGAAGCTGGGTAGACTGAGGCTGAGTTATGGGGGCCTGGTTACTTATGGCTCCCCCTGTGGATCCTATCAGAGATCCAACTCAACTAACGAGTTTTCACATGCCCTCCCATCCTTAGCCAATCCTTGTCCCTTCAGCCAAAGCTCTCAAAAGCATCACTCAGGCTCTGTAACACACTGTCCATCCCTCCTCCTAGAAACAGATGCCTTCAGGAGAAAGGCAGCCCCAAACACCAGGACCACATTCCTGATCTTTCCAACTCTAGATCCTGGCCTGAGAACCTGGGCATCCATTATCTTTTCAACTCTGATGCCTTCAAGAACTTTATTAATGGATGTGGATTTCCCTTACTACTCCCCCTGTAAAGATGAGACACAGAGAAGTTAGGTACCTTGACTAACTTACCACTGACAAATGGTAGACCCAGGATTCAATCCCAGGAAGACCTGGGCTATATCTGTTTCTTAAGCATCTTCCCTTTGTAAGGGTGACCTACATTTCTCTCTGGTGATGCAAGTACAAATCTTGGAAAATCCTAAGGAATATATTTCTAACATTTCAGGATTTCCTCCAAATATTATTATTAGTAAAGTAGTCCTTGGATAGTCTCATAATCAGAGGATTTAAAGGGCTAGCCAAGAACTGGAAACACTCTACATGTCTGTCAATTTATTCTGTAGAGTGAATAAACAATGTGATAAATATTCATTAAGTGAAATTCTACACACCATTAGAAAGGATTGAACTATGATTCATGCAGCATGGATGAACCTGAAACACATTATTGTGAGGAAAGAAGTACCTTATTTTACTGTGTTTTATGTTCCCTCTTTCATGGTTTTAATACAGTTTACGTTTAAAGTTTTTATCTGATAATAGTATTCCAAAGTGTGGGGCAAGTGCAAGTCTAATCTTGCTCTCTGATGGATAGTTTTTGTGTGTAATTGGTGACATTGGATTACGAGTTCATCTTAGTGGGGCTTTATAGGAATTTTTATGCCAGATTGACAGTGTTTTCAATAGCAGGTAGTTTTGTGCTTGCCTCTGCTAATATTCCCCTGTCCTCTGTTAGCATTTTTATGAGTATATCTTGGTTTGGAGGCAATGAAGCTAGTGTACATTCAAACTTCCATTTGTGTAAGGCCAGGCCCATATGATTTCTCAGGGAAGTCTCCTACTTTTCAAACAAAGACCAGGCCAAGACAGAGGAGCTTTCTTATAATTTCCATGTGCTAGTAAGGCATTTTTGTTTGTTTATTTCACTAAGGATGTAGCTGGGAATTTTACGCAATTTCAACTCCATTCTCCCACCTTGTTACAGTCAAGACTTTGCATCCTACACCTATGTGGCAGATAAAACATACACTCCCTGGTTCCCTAGGGCAGCAGCTCTCCACCACTTCTACTAGGGCAGGCCCAGGACCAGGGCTCTTTACTGGCTTCGTGGCTGGCTCCTGCAAATTTTTTTCTTTTAAGGTCAGCTCTGCCTTAAAAAAAAACAACAAAAAAAAAACTGTCAGTTACACTTTAGCCAACATTTCTAGTGCTTGTAGTGGGAGGTTTTCAATTTTTCTGCTCCACAATATTTGTTGTTAAATAAGTTTTAGAAATGCTAAAGCCCTCCTTGAAGGTTCCGTATCATTAGCCTACAAAAGGCCAACAACTTAACCCTTGTTGGAACAATGTACATTGAGATCTCTCCTGACGTGGACTTACCCCAAATCACTATTTTGTTTGCATATTATGAATTAGGCAGGTCTCCTTGCTCAAGAATAGGCAGGAGCTTAGCTGTTTCCTGAAGCCACGACTTTACCCTGTCGCTAGGACTGTGTTGTTCTCACAGGACAGGGGGCTTATCTTTCTGCTGCAGCATGAGAGTAGACCTTCACTTTTAAAACAAATGCCAATACTATTCCTATATGTTAAAAAGCATAGAAGGAAAAGAAATCACCCTATTTTGTGCCACTTAAAAGGACATTTGCTCTTTTAGGAGGTAAACTTTTCTAGTCAGTAGAACAAACACTCTGAAGGAGGGTCGAATGACTCGGTGCTGTAGTTTAATCATGTGGCTTTGCCCGTAGCTGTTTCCTATTCATGAAGTAGTCAACAACTTGAAGTCTTAGAATCCTCTGTACAATATTATTAGACAAACTAGTTAACAGTCAATGGTCAACCCATAGCATGGTGGTTTCTAATGCTATTTATTAGATTGAGATCCATGCTTAGAATTTACTGCACAGAGAGCTAGAGTTTGAAGAATAATCCCATGGCATGACAACTCCATAATTTAGTGAGCCTAGCAGTTGGTCCCTTTGGGGCACAAATGTGCTCTGTGTTTATCCTATTGTCTCTACTCCAGTAACTAATTAAAATAAATAATTTTAGGAATTATATGCCCTGCCAGTAACAAAACACAAAGAATTCTGATGGCATAAATCTTTCCAAAGGGTAATTTTTAGATTAATATGATTAATCAGATATCTATTAACTAGAATCACACTTAGGGAGATTTATGGAGCCTATCAATTACTGACTTCAATATATGCTGATTTCAAAGTTATTAAAATAGGAGGTAGCGCTCATGCAAAGATTAATTGGAAACTATGCTTCCATCACTCCCCTCTACAAAAGGAACATGAAGTTCAGAATCTACCCTAATGGCTCCACAAAGAGCCTTCCATTGAGATGAATGCTAGTCCTATTTCTCCACGTGTGCATCTGAAGGATCCCAAGTCCATCTCTGCTTTAATTCCTAATCTTGCCCTCTGGTCATGTTACCACCAAACCCTCAGTCTAGCTCAGGTTTCTTTTTTATAAACTCACATAGCATCTCTTAAGTTTTCTAGTTGGAACTCTTATCCCACTTTAATTAATGTCCATCTTCCCAAGTAAAATATAAATTCTATGGGAGCATATCATTCACAATTGAAAACTCTAGTATCCTGCAGACCAGTAATGGTCTAGTCCACGTGGGCATTTGTACTGCTATTTCTCAGGAGCTTACCCTTGTGAGGCACTCGGGTCACAAAGGTAGGGAAGATGAAGTCACGATGGCTGAGATGGCATATCCCGGCCTCTCAGTTAGGTGTGACCCATGACTAAGTCCTCTCATAGGAAATGTGACCAGAAATGGTGCGTGTGTGCCTCTTGGCAGCTTACCCTTGACATCTGAGTGCTCCTCCATGCACTCTTCCCTTCTGACTGGTTGGGATGAAGGTGACCACAGTCACCTTGGAAACCAGAGAACAGAGCCTCCGTTGGCCTGGATCCTAGAAAAACCTGCCTGAAGCACAGCCACTGCCCCCTGGAATGGTTGAGGTGGACTAGGTGACACAGTAACATCATTCTTGTTCTTTTTTTTTTAATATTTTATGGATTTTTTACAGAGAGGAAGGGAGAGAAATAGAGAGCCAGAAACATCGATGAGAAACATCGATCAGCTGCCTCCTGCACATCTCCCACTGGGGATGTGCCCGCAACCCTAGTACATGCCCTTGACCGGAATAGAACCTGGGACCCTTCAGTCTGCAGGCCGACGCTCTATCCACTGAGCCAAACCGGTTTCGGCCCGTTCTTGTTCTTAAAGGCCCTGAGATTTGGGGGTCTGTTAACACAGCCTACACTAGTCTAATACAGTATCAACCTCAGGTTCACATGTTTAAGAAAGAACTCCAGTTACTGTGGAATATGTTCCAAAGATCCTTCAAGACCGGGATAAAGCAGGGAGTTGCATTGTAACTCCGTGTCATTGGCTTCAAAAGCTACAGGTTTTGCTCCCACCAAGGATGTGTGGACCAAGTTCAGGTAGGCTGCGACACTGCAAAATGGATATTTTTTCACTATATAGGCCAGTATGCATTCTCAGCCAGCTTCTCTGGGGGAGGGAAACTCAGTGGTATGGAAACTTAATCATGTTCTTTGTATTATACATCCTTCCATTGTTTTTCAAAAGTGAGCATTTTAATCTCCATTGTTTTAGTCCCCAGGGGTTTGTAAGTGTCACCTCTCCTCCTTTGTGCTTTCCACTGCCTTAGTGCCAGGAAGGTTGGAGTGCAGACCAGTCATCTCACTGCCATCTGCTCCAGCCTGGCCACCCCCAGACTTCAGGACAGAGGGAGACCTGAAGCAAGTGCAGTGAGATGCTATAGACAACACAATGGCTGTGACAAGGAGCCCTCTGATGGCTCCTCCTTTGTTTTGTGCTTTCCAGAGCAGCTAAAGGCACATGGTGTGGCTTTCACCAAGTCAAGGAGAAGAGGATAAAGAGGAAAAATGAACAGACTGGATGGGGGATGGACGCAGAGGAGAAAATTTTTAACTCAGTAATCTTTTTTCACTGCCTAGGCCAGTGATGGCGAACCTTTTGAGCTCGGCGTGTCAGCATTTTGAAAAACCCTAACTTAACTCTGGTGCCGTGTCACATATAGAAATTTTTTGATATGTGCAACCATAGTAAAACAAAGATTTATATTTTGATATTTATTTTATATATTTAAATGCCATTTAACAAAGAAATATCAACCAAAGAAATGAGTTCGCATGTCAGAGGTGTCGTAGGTTCGCCATCACTGGCCTAGGCAAACAACTCTTGTGAAAACAGTTACATGAAAAGCAATCGATGGTTTTGTTTTTACTTAGCACTATCATAGGTTTTGAGGCAAATGGAAATTTACATAAAATGAAAACACACAGGATCAAGGATTATGTACAATTCTGTGATTAAGGTGCTTTGCAATTCAGGCAACGTTCTGCTAGAAACTCCTCTCTTGGTCCCAGTTGCTGCAGATACTATTTGAGGAGGCAAAGAATAAATACATGGATGAAGAGGAAAATAATTAAGTACCGTGGGCTAAATAATCAAGACTATTACAAGGAATATAAATAATAAATTTATAATGTATTGCAATACAAATAAGAAGTATTTTCAGTATAAAAATTGCATTTGCACAAAGAAGCTATTTAGTAACAAATACAATTACACTATTTGGAAACACGTCAAAGGTGTACCTAGTATGTCTCACATATACAAGTACAATGTCACAGTACACAGGAAACTTTACTGAGAATAAGCCACCTGAAGGCCAAGTCCCGGTCTGAAGCTGTCACGGGCCTGTCAGCAGAACCTCCTGGTTCAGGAAAGCTGTTCACAAGCTGTTGGAGGTTCATCAGACTTGATGACTCCGCGTTGGTTGCAAGACAAGCTGTAACCTCAGGAGAACCAAAACGTAGGACTGAGGTAAAGAGATACTAAACAAGGAACTTTTCTGTTGGCACAAAGGATGTGAATACTTTCCAAAATGCTGTCATATTTAACAGGATGGGTCTACCACACATTTATAACACTGGCAGAGATAACACTTCGACACGGAGATAAAGGACAGACAGACATTGATACATTAGCAAAAGCACCAATCTCCTTTCTCTCACTTCAAGCCAATTTAAGGTGCTGAAATCTCAGGTGTGCATACCCTGGCTTGTCTACCTTTTATTGACTCTTTAAGGTTTCCCATTCCTCACGCTTGGCTCGGTAATACAGTAACAGGAAATACTTCCCCTGAAAGATATTTTTATCATCTACTCCGAAGGTGTTACAGGATGCAGGCTTACATATGCCCAAATCATGTAGCAACACCAGAGCTATCAACAGATTTGGGCCATAAATAAATAAAAATGTGGCTTTCTCCAATGTCAAAAGCCAACCTGGCCAACACTTATTTGCTACCTCAATATACGATCGCTAAGCAAGTTGGGTAGTGTAACAGACCTAGCAAGAGATGTAATAAAGGAAACTAAGAAAAAGCTAGGTAGATGAAAAGGCACCTGCTCCAACTACTCAGTTACTTTTAATTCACCTGATTTTGATTTATACAAAATACTATTGTATAAGTAAATAACTGATACTACAATATAGGAAAGCGTGGCTAATGTTTACTTTTAAAATGAAAATCATGTTTCCATGCACTTGACTCCTGGAATAAATATAAGAAATATCCTTAAAATCCCATTGAAATGTTAATTTCAAATTATTTTAGGTTGACTTTTTGCCTTTAGTTTTACATACAGTCAGTACTGAAAACAACGTAAAGGCCTCAGGTGGAAAGAAATGAAATTAGTTGAGTATTTATCAGACCACTTGGTAAAAACCCCAATCTTTTGCCAGGATATTGAAAACAGGAAAAACGGGGAAAAAATGGTTCTCATAGCCAGACTTTTAAACTTCTAATGAATTTTCTTCTCCAAGATGCTTTTCTTTGCTCACTCCATTTTTTTAAAGTATTGCTGAGTATATATATAAAAATTTGGGGTCCAGCTGGAAATTGGCCTTACATTTCTAAAAAGTCAAAGTAGATTTCATTCCCTCCTCTCTAGTCAAATATTCAACTTAAAAAAAAAATGATGTTATTACAAAGGAGGGGAGCTTATACAGAAAAGCCAAACTGAATCCTTTCTTAGTCTGTAGCTCTGAACTTGAGCTTAATGATCTTTGAAAAGTCAATTCAGCTGATTGTAAGAGAAAGAAATCCAGTGCCGAGAGGGCACGCCCAGCTCAGCAATGATCCAGAAAAGCTTCCCGGGATCAGGAAGATGGAGCCGCCACCATCACAACGACTGCATTTTGGGTTAAGATGTATCAGAGACCTACCTTACGGAAGGAAAGAAAATGAGCAAATTCAAGATTTTCCTAGCCCCTCAGTTCTCTGATGGTCTCTAACTTGAGGTTGTGTTGCTGTCTGAAGAGAAAAACTATTATTGGTGACTCTTTTTGGGGGGAGTACAGGGGGGGTTGTCAAACCATCTTATTGAGGGTCTTTGGGGAAGGGTTGAAGGGCTGGGAGGACAATGAGATCCGATGTCCTTGGTTTGGTCAGGATCTCCCCAGCTTCATAGCTGCCAAAAGCTGGTGACTCTTTCTTATTTTGGGGGGTAATCCTCACCCGAGGATATTTTCCTATTGACTTTTAGAAAGAGTGGGGAGGGGGAGAGAGAGAGAGAAACACATCCATGTGAGAGACACATCAATTGGTTGCCTCCCGCAAGAGCTCTGACTAGGGAGCCTACAACTGAGGTACAGGCCCTAGACCAGAATTGAACCTGTGACCCTTCAGTCTGTGGGCTGACACCCTATCCACTGAGCCAAACCGGCTAGGGCCAAAAATCTGGTGACTCTCATGCTGCAGGATGAGGCTGTCAGGTAACTGAATTGGAAAGATGAAAAATAACCATCTCTAAAAATTAGATTCCGGCAGAATAAAAACCCCTTTTGTGTAAATTTGCAACAGGCTCATTCAAGCACAGAAAGAGAGCAAGTTTCAGAACCGCTCCCTCCCGCCAATGATCCCGTGTTCAAAGTTAATGGAAGAAAAGGGTTATCTAAACAGCCAGATAAGAGTACACTGCATATTTCTTTTTTAAAATGACAGAAACTTTTAAATTTCATAAGCCTGCACTACTTATTATTGTCTGGACCCAAGGGGTGTAGAATCAACTTTAGTCATCTTTCATAAGGTTTGGAATCTAATTTTATGAATTTATTCTAAAACATAAATCAGGTAAGGCAGAAGTAGATGGATGGATTTTTTAAAAGAAATTGGGCCTCCTGGGTACTTTTAGTAGATTGAGCACTGAGAGATTTACAGGGATAAAATTCTTTACAAGATTAAGAAAGAAGGAAATGAAACCAAATCTTTCATTTCCAGATACTCACTTTCATTAATTCTTTCACCATAAGCACATCACTGAAGGAGAACCAGAAATGTTCAGTTATTATTAAAGTGGTTCAAGGCCAGGGAACCCCTTGAGATGAAAACAAAACAACACAGTATTCAAGTTTTCTTCACAAGACTACCTTGTACTGGCAAGACTTAGGAGACTTCTGGATTGAGAATGAATATTGCTGAAGGGACTTTTTGAAAAAAAAAAATTACTCCATTTTGGCAAAAAAACAACAAAATTGTCTCCTGTAAAATCCCTACCACTTTTTGAATCCCCAAAGGTTACAATACTTCATTTGAGCTGCTTGGCAGTCCACCTTCATGGGCTGCGGTATTTGATTAACTAAACCCTTAAATCCACTAAACGCAGCTGATGTCTAAGAAGCATTGTGAAGTGTGGGGAGTCTGCAGGCTGTTGGCAGGAGAGCTGGAAATGGGACAGGTAAGAAATAAGACATAACAATGGATTTAAAGTCAAGACAACTGCCAAGCTCTTTTCCACAATAATCCAGGGCCCGCTCCATTTCTCTCTAAAAAAAGTGACCCAGTAGGATGGTGCCTGATGTTTCTTTAGTTTGACAAAAGTAACTTCTTAACACAGTTCTGGAGAAGCAAGACTTCTGCTCCACGGGAGGAAGCACAGGCTGCTTTGCTTTCACTTTACGGGGCCTGCAGCCTTGTCAATGAACAGTCCTCACCAGGGCTGGGCATCGCTACCTCTGGTCAAAACTCTCTCGCCCCAAGTAGATGCACGTGTGCCCATCCCAAGTCCCCAAGTGTATCCGAACACCACGCATCCTGATTGTCATGCCTGAAGGAGTCTCATTAATACACATTAGGCTTAATGCCGAGACTACATGACTAAGATGGATCTTTAAGAGAAGCTTGCTCGGGAAACAAGGAGGATTTTGGTTTAGGCTGCAGACAGAGGGAAGCCGGCACACTCCTCTGCTCTATGTCCTTGGAAATAGTCTGTGAACCTAAGGTCCCTTATCAGCATGCTGACTTCTGCGCTGCCTCACTGTGTCTTCCGTGTCAGAAGGACGGGGCTGCCCAGGGGCATCTTCCTTAGTCTCATTGGGTTCTCTTTCCTCCAGGGGCTTCCTTGGGGGCCCCTGATCCTGGGTGTCACTCGTCTCCTCATCCGCACCAGCGGCCAGGTTGTCCTCCTCCTCCTCTTCCTCTGGTTCGTCCTCATCACCAAAGTCTTCTTTCTCTTCCTCCTCGTCGTCTACAAGGCTGTCCTTGTTTTCTTCTTCGTTTGAGTCATCTTTTTCGTCCTCTGCATCCAGCAACTGTTCAGCCCTATGAGCCTCCTCTGACTTCTGACTCTGCTCTGTGGAGGAAGAGAGGGGAACGGCCTCTGAATGAACAATGGTCACTCAGCAATCAAACTGGCTGGGAAATAAAGGAAGGGGGGCACACGACAGTCTTCTCCACCTTGAAGCTGTTATTACCCAGGACAGATCTCTGTTTGGCGTCCTAGCCCCAGCCCAGGAGGGCAAAGGTTCCCTCAGGCTTTGTATTTTGTACCTTGTAGAACCTGGCTCAGTGATCTACTCACTAGCCGTGGTAACTTATTCACCATATGACAAGCTGAGCCAATCAGAGTGCTCCCAGCAGTTTCTGCCAGAGTGCGGAGGAAAAGCTCTCACTTTCTACAATGATTGCTACTGCTCTTGACAGCCACTGAAATCTGTCACATGGGAGCACAATCTAACATCCCTAAGCTGTGCTTGAAGCTAGAACAATCCTGGGCTTTCAGTTGTGTGTGTTAAATACATTTTCCTTTTCCCCCAAATTGCTTTAAATTGGCTTTCTGTTACTTCTAAGAATTCTAAGGAACATAATATACCTTGTAGTTATAGTCATGTGCAGCATTACAACGTTTCAATCAAGGACATACTGCATATACCACAGCAGTCCCATAAGATTATAATGGGGCTAAAAAATTCCTATTGTAGTCGTCTTGTAGCAGAGCAAGGTAATTCTTGTGTGTTTGTGGTGATGCTGGTGTAAATGCCTACTCTGCTGCCAGCTGTATAAAGTAAGACTATATCATCTGTGTGTGTGCATGTGCATTCTGTGATGTTGCACAAAAGACCAAAGCACACCTAATGATGTATTTCTCATAACGTATCCCTATCTCATAGCGCATGACTTTACCTATGGAAGTCCCAAAGCATTGAAAACTTCAAAAATCAAAAAGAAATATAGCTTATTTAAACTCCAACATAAAATTCAACGAAGTCTCATAAAAGTTTTTATGCAAAGTTTCAAAAACAGAATTAAAAACATGCAAATCCAGGGCTATTTGATCTCAGAAACAGTGTGAAACAGTACAAAGATTTGGGGAAACTTCTTTTTTTTAATTAAAAAAATTTTTTTAATTGATTTCAGAGAGAGAAAGGAAGAGGGAAATATAGAAACATCAAGGATGAAAGAGAATCATCAATTGGCTGTCTCCTGCACACCCCCTACTGGGTATTTAGCCTACAACCCAGGCATGTGCCCTGACCATTGGGAATAGAACCATGACTTCCTGGTTCATAGATGGACACTCACCAATGAACAACACCAGCCGGGCAGGGAGACTACTTTCAAAGCACTTAGAATAGTTATAGGCACACAATAAAATACTAATAAATGTGAGTTCCCTCCCTCCCTTTTCATTCCAGTTTGAATGAAGAAAAGGGTGTCAACTGATTAATGAAGGGCATACACTTAAAGGGAAAAAGAAATTGCCAAGATGAAATATTCCTTAACTTAAGAGAGAAAAAAGAGAATTTTGTTCAAGTCTACGTAGAGAACATATTTTAAGGAATTTAGTGGTGGTGGTTTGGTAGGTAACCTAGCACATCGGGGAAATCCACCACCTACATGAGCACGATAGGGCACAACACAGAATTCCAAAAATACTCTATTTACATGAGTTTATCACACTTACCGGGATGTTCAGATACATGCCTTGGAAATGGCACATAGAAACATTCTGATATTAACACCAAGACCTGGAAGGGGAAAAGGTGATTTTATAGTGAGTAGGTAGGACATTTATTTTCAAATAACCTTAAAAATTAAGCCTTCTACAACCAGATATTCATAAATAAATAATTAGCAGTTGGTCAAAAGTCCTCAAAACAGAAAAGGGTATACTTAAGAATTTCCTATTTTTTTAAATGTGATACAATATAGGGAAGATGCTAATGCTTGAAAACAGGGGTCACAAAGTCAAATGCCTAAGAGAGCCCACTAAAAATAGATGAATCAAGCGGGTATAAGAAAACAGACACTATCAGCCAAGTCTAAACTGGCCTTTAAAAAACACTCTTCTGGACAAACTGAACTGGTCGGTACATGGGCTGCCCCTCACCATAAATAGTAATAGCACTTCCTACAACAATGTCTTAAAGGTATTCTAAAATTTTAAAGAACCCCAAGTCATAGTCTTTTGGATTCAATTTTATAAATGTCAAATGAGTATCCTACATTTTGTTCAGAATTATTACCACCTGTATTTTCATTTATTAATTTATTTAATATTTGGTTCATTAACATCTGGGGGCAAGATTCAAAAAGAGAAAAAAATGGCAGTTTAATTATAAATCAATAAAGAACAATTGAGTTTCAAAAAGAAAATGAATAAAGCACTTCGATAGATACTTAAGAGATACAGAGATTACAACCATTGGGAAGGATTAAGAATGATACATCTGAAGAAGGCACATTTAAGGCCCTGGGCATAGTCAGGAAGAGCTGGGTAGCAGCACAGGTCTAGCTCCTTTCAGCTACACCAAATTGGGTCATGGGGGCACTTAGGTCCAGAGAAAGCTCTGAATGCCAGTCTGAGGAGACCCAACTTCTTATAAAGGAATAATATTTTATGTCACTTAATCACTTGAACAGTCTTAAATCAACTCTCTTCTTTCTTTGGGTCAAGCTTCTAATAACCTTCCTACACTGATTATTTAAATCTGTTTCCAAATGAACTTAGGACATAGGCACATCTGACATGATTTCTTGGGTTTAAAGTAAACCTCAAAGATAAAACTCTAAAACTTTATGCTGAGAAGACTTTCCAACGGTCTTGCATTAGGCTCACAATCAACCTACATTCTCCACAGCTCTACCTTAGTCTTCAGGGATCTCATATTGTTCCCTCTACACGAACCTCATGCTCCTGTGGCTCTAGAATATACTACCAGAAAAATCTAGGACCAGATGGTAGATGGGAGAAGTACACTAACATCCAAGGTCAAATTTATATCCAAAGTCAAATCCTTTTAGACCAGACCATTAGGGGCATGTTAAGAGCAGTATGGTCAGTGCATCAGAATGGGAACACACCTAGGACCTAATGAATGACGTATCTAAGTTCTATCCCCATCTGTGAGGTTAACATTTAGTCAAATCTCAAATATAAACCATAGTATGAAGGAAGCATGCTCATGGCAAAATAAAATGGGTTCCCTGGAATAGGACTTTGTTGTACTAACTTATGACTTGCTATAAAACAACTGCTAATATTTTAAGCTTATTTTAAAAAGATTTTGCTAGCCCTGGTCAGGGCACATACCTAGGCTGTGGGTTCAATCCCATCGGGCACATACAGGAGGCAACTATTCGATGTTTCTCTCTCCCTTACTCTGTTTAAAAATTAATAAAAGCAGCCCTAACCAGTTTTGCTCAGTGGATAGAGCATCGGCCTGCAGACTGAAGGGTCCCAGGTTCGATTCAGGTCAAGGGCATGTACCTTGGTTGCGGGGACATCCCCAGTGGGGGGTGTGCAGGAGGCAGCTGATCGATGTTTCTCTCTCATCAATGTTTCTAACTCTCTATCCCTCTCCCTTCCTCCCTGTAAAAAATCAATAAAATATATGAAAAACAAAAAAATGCATATCCTGAGGTGAGGATTAAAAAAAAAAGACTTTGCTAAAGAGCCACAATTTATTATAAAGTGTAAGGACAGACTTTGAAGATAATCTTAACTAAAAGTTTGTCTTTTTTATATAAACTTTTAGTAAACATCACTTATTCCTATCATATAGTATTTAGGAGCTATGTGGTTTATATATAGTATAAGGGCATTTAAGAATTTGTTTTAATTAGTTTAAAGCTCAATCAAATGGATCAGCGAAAGCTTAACAAATTATATCAAAGAATAAAGCATGCCACAATACTTACAGTTGCCTACATAGTTAAATAAATACATTTATTATTCCGACTCTTACCTAAAGTATCTAGGGAGAAAATGCACGAAGACCTACTAGATAGGTAAGCACTAGATGTGCTTTGCACCTGATTTTTTTTTCACAATATTGACTGTGTTTTCTAGTCCCTTCTTTCAACATTATCTTATAAAATCCACCTCAGACTAAGGAGAGTGTATGTGCAAGCAGCTGGCCAGGGTTAGAGGTTTAATTGGAGGGTATGAACAAGAAAAGAATCATCTCATTCACTGGAGGAACAGATCCACAGCATTGGCCTTATCACCACAGAGTTCCAATCAAGTGGGCAATGTGTGAAATCACTGCTGATGGGGTTGTCTTGCAAACTATCAATTCAAGTATGATCTCAGCTTTTCTTTTCATCACTGCCTATATTTTGGGCAGCACAGATCTTCAGAAAATATAAAGGCTAGAATTAAAAGATAATGATTTAATGAATTTTCCACTATTTCTCAAATTAGCATTGTAAGCAGTATCAAATAAACAAACGCTACTTAACTGCTTAGATTACACACAAAATAATGTTTGTTTAGGTGTTTTTTCTTTCTTGGCTGCTTTGTAGTTTTGCATAAAACCCATTAGGCTTTAAGAAAAGGAAAGAAGATTGGCAATTATCTCTTACCAGACCCATAAGAAGGCCAAAAATCAAGGTGGCAATGACGAAAAGGACATAAGAACACCAAGCAGGCATTCCAACGGTCACTGTGAAATAGTTGTGAAGATGCTGTAAGTAAAAGAAAAATTATTTATAATGACGACCAAAAATGTTTAAATCTAGCTCTCCAGCTATCACTCAAGTCTGCAAATTGTTTCCACATAGAGGAGTTCCCACAAGGTCATCCAGTGGTTTATGCATCTGCGATTCCTCAGAACAAGTCAAGCTTTACAATAGCAGGAACCTGAGAGTATACTCAAGGTTATAGGTGATAAGAGTTCTCATTCTTTGGAGTTCATAATCTGATAGAATTGTTTTTCTAGTCCCTTCTTCCACAGTGATAGATTTTTTTTTTGGTCACTCTCTGCTAATAATTATATATACCTCAATATTTACTTGTAATATGGAATCCATAAAAATTAAACTTCTTAAGCCTTAACCAATTGTTAAGTAGAACTAAATACTAGAGAACATCAATCATTTTAAACGTCTCCATACTTCCTCTTTCTAGTCATTTCTCTACCTCTACCCATCCTTAACAGCTTTCCTAAATCACCATAAAACCTAAAATGTAATATTAGACAGAAGGTTTCCCCAGTTCATTCATTATGAGGAAATGAGATTTCATGAGGTTTTGAGTAGAGTGCACATTCTTTTTTTAAAAAAAAAAAAATATTTTATTGATTTTTACAGAGAGGAAAAGAGAGGGATAGAGAGTTAGAAACATCGATGAGAGAGAAACATTGATTAGTCGTCTCCTGCACAGTCTCTACTGGGGATGTGCCCGCAATCAAGGTACATGCCCTTGACCGGAATCGAACCTGGGACCCTTGAGTCCACAGGCTGATGCTCTATCCACTGAGCCAAACCGGTCAGGGCAACACATTCTTTTTTTACTATTCCCTAGAACTCTATTTGATACCAAAGGGTTAAAAAAAAAGAGAGATACAATCTGAACTAGAAATTATTTCCATGCTAAAATCACACAGAAATTACAGATATGAAGTGGTAGTTTAGAGTCAACACCCACTTAGATGGGGAATTGCAGGAGCCATGCTTCCTCATGAAGGTTTAGTGATTATGGCCTACGTTTCAGGCCATTGAAGCTTCAAGAACAGTCGTTCGAAATTTACTGGGCACACGATAAAATGGCTCCAAGCTAAATGTCATCAGCAGGCAGAGATAACAAGTGAAAGACTTGCCTAGAACAGATGTAATAGCTAAAAACGAGTCCAAGTTTCCATTTTAATATTTCTCAAAATCTAAATTACTCAGGTCATTGGTTTCTGTTTATAAATGTCAACACAATTAAGTAATATACTTCATTTTGGCTTATATCTAAATGATAAACAAACAAAAAAGCTTGTTCAACTAATCTAGACAAATCTGAGATCTCTTCTCTCCAATCCCTGACTCAGCTGAAGAGATAGATATAAAGACTCAGCAACTACTTTGAACACTGATCCATGTAAAAAATATTTGTTAGGTAAGTTATAGGTACTAGCAAATCCTTCAAGTATTCATAGGAAATGCAAATAATCTGGATTTGTAACACTGTCATCTGTAACTGTTGTCTACAGTGGTCATTATTCTGTCTTCAGCCAAGGCAACTGTTTATTCAGAATAATCCAGCATTATGGAATCCAGCATTATGGAACCCAGCAGGCAAAAGTATTGGGATTTCAAATGTTGTTTTAGTCAAATCCTTTTCAAGGGAAGTTCTAAATACTGCACAGGTTCCTACTTTAGAAAACTCTATGTACTGAACATAGTTAATGCTTTTCTTGGTGACTCAGTGAGGTGATCAGGATTAATCCCTGAAATGTGCCAAGGAATTAGAAGATAGAGAAAGCCAGTCTGCCTTTGAGCTGACCTATGGACGTAAGTATTCTGAAACTTGCTCTATAAAAAATATCTGCCCATTTGCCTTACTCATATGGTTGGAATGAGTTATGTGCAGTTATAAATCCTTCTAGACAGCATCGTATGCCCTTTCTGCAAAATAAATGATTAAAGTAACCCTCAGAACCTTTCTATTTTCTAGAATGCAGTAAATCATTTGCCTTTGTGTCACTGCATTCTGAGTCACACATTTCTTAGCACATTCAAAATACCTACTTATTTTAATAAGCTCCACTTCAATGTTCTTGTATCTGCTGATACTTTGGAGGATTTATTTGAGCTTCTTAGAGAAATCCTGACAGAGCGCTGGTAGAATGTGGTCTTTTAGATGATTACTACTAAAGTCTCATTAATCAAGTTTTGTTTTCACAGCTGCAGACATAAACCTTTATCTGTTTACATTATCTGCCACCATAATGGTTTTAGAACACCTGAGTGTTAGGGTACTTGGTTTTAGTTCAGCCGTGGGCAAACTATGGCCCGCAGGCCGAATTCGGCCAGTTTGAAATGAATAAAACTAAAAAAAAAAAAAAAAAGACCTGTACCCTTTTATGTAATGATGTTGACTTTGAATTTATATTAGTTCACAGAAACACTCCATCCATGCTTTTGTTCCGGCCCTCTGGTCCAGTTTAAGAACCCATTGTGGCCCTCGAGTCAAAAAGTTTGCCCACCCCTGTTTTAGTTACTTAAAGTTTTTATATAAATATACTAGAGGCCCAGTGAACAAATTCATGAACCAGTGGGGTCCCTTAGCCTGGCCTGCAGGATTAGGCCAAAATCAGCTCTCTGATGTCCCCCGAGGTGTCCCAGATTGTAAGAGGGCGCAGGCCAGGCCAAGAGACCTCCCTGGTTCACAATCAGGGCTGGGAAGGGACCCGGGAGGGCTCCAGGGCATGTCCGGCCCATCCAGCTCAGTCCCAATTGGCTGGACCCCAGCAGCAAGCTAACCTACCAGTCAGAGCATCTGCCCCCTGGTGGTCAGTGCACATCATAGTGAGCAGTTGAGCATCCTTACCATATCATTAGCATATTATGCTTTGATTGGTTGAATAGCCAACTGGACTGCAGGACACTTAGCATATTAGGCTTTTATTATACAGGACTAGAGGACCGGTGCACAATCCTAACCTGATCCCCATAACTGCCTAACTGCTGTCCCCTGCCTGACTGATCCCCCTAACTGCCTATCTGCTCTCCCCTCCTGGCCTGATCCCCCTTAACTGCCTATCTGTTCTACCCTCCTGGCCGAAACCCCCTAACTGCCCATCTGCTCTCCCTTCCTCTCTGTGCCTTCAGACCCCGGCATAGGAGTGCTGAGAGCTCTCAGCCAAGGCCCCGCCCCTGTCCTAATGCCCCCCTGCATGGGCCTGCGCACGCCTCCGCTGGGGGGACCACCCCGTCCTGATGCCCCCGATGGCAGCCTCATGTCCCAGTGGTGCAAGTCCCCGCCCCCCTCCCTGCCCACCAGCTCCTGTGTACGCACAGCCTGTTGAACAGTCGTGACTGGGACACCGTTAGGACCAATTAGCATATTACCTCTTTATATATATATAGATGTTTCCAGGCAATTACTGATTAAAATTTACCAAATTCAATTTTAAATTTCTGTGTTTCTTTAACTGCCAGGCAATGACAGTTTTCACTTGAGGAAAATACTGATTCTTGTTGTGTGTGTTCATTACAAGGAAGCATTCTACTGTTTCCTTAAAATACACAGACATGTTGTCTAACGGGCATGACACCTTATTATTGATGACTGATTTAGAGCCAATTTTGGGTAACATGTAGTTTTGAGTAAGAAGACTGAATGAAGATACCATTAGAGTAGAATATATAAAAACATTCCAAGCAGTGGCCAGATGAATTTAAGCAATGGAGCCAGGCCAACACATTCACAGATCAGAGGCAGAGCCCTTCCTCCCCAAGGAGGCCAGCACTCCCTCTGGGACCTGAACTACTGCAGGTGAGATCAGATGCTTCCCAGGGGCACCCACCCACCCAGCCCAGTGTTGCACAGTCTCATTCAGGGCTGGGCTGGCCCAGAAGGACAGAGAGCCTTTTGTATTTATATTCTACCTATGTCACAAAATACACTCCGAGGAGTTTGGGGACAGGCCCTACATCCCCTCTATCCTTCTTAGACACAGGTAAGGATCCTCAAATATATTCCCTGAATGGAGCAGCTCAGAAAGACTTCTCCAGTGACAGCCAAGGTTTTACTACTTCCTCTTCCATGTCATACCCTCTGCAACAAGACACAACCTTGCCGGCCCCTGCAGACATTAAGAAATATATCCTGTGGATGTGCACCATCTCATTATAATATTATTCTAGATCAGGGGTGGGCAAACTTTTTGACTCGAGGGCCACAATGGGTTCTTAAACTGGACCGGAGGGCCGGAACAAAAGCATGGATGGAGTGTTTGTGTGAACTAATATAAATTCAAAGTCAACATCATTACATAAAAGGGTACGGTCTTTTTTTTTTTTTTTAGTTTTATTCATTTCAAACGGGCCGGATCCGGCGGGCCGTAGTTTGCCCATGGCTGTTCTAGATATTAGGTGCAAGAAAAGAAAAGCAAACGAAGATATGCCACTATAAAAAACACCGTGGATATTTCACAGTTTTAAAATACACTCTTACTATTCTCCAGTCTAAATACTCATGGTCTTTACTTCTCATCATGTGACATTTACAAAGCATTAGACCTTCTCTATCACATGGATTATCCTCCCAAAGATGCAGCACACTTATAGTGACTAAATTCTGCCATTTGCCTGTGTAACTACAGTAACGTTAAGAAGAGGGAAGTTACCGTATTAGCTTAGTAAGCAGCACAAATTCACCATATCAAATCTATAAAAATAAAAGCGTAATATGTGAATTAGACCAGACAACCTTCCAGACGAAGCTGGATCTGCAGCCCCAGGATTGAGGAAGCTGCTGTGGCTGCAAAGGTCTATTCTTGCGCAAATTTTGTGCATCAGGCCTCTAGTCAAATAATATTTAAGTACATTCAAATGCTAAACCTAACTAGTAAGTACACAATATACAACTGCCATAAAGCCTTATTTTAATCCTGCCATCAGAGTTTGTTAAGAAATAAATGAATAGAAACAAAACATTTTTGTTTCCTAAACAGAGGGGAAAAGCAAAATAATGACAACAATAATTAATGAATATAACTAACAAAAACAGTTATCAAGTATGTACTTGGTGCGGGTTCTATGCTAAGCATTCTAAGAATTCTAGTAACAACAGTTACAAGAGGAAAAGCAATGGGTTCAGAGACTTATACACAAGGTGGAGAATAATGGCTTGTCCTCCGGAAAAGAGATAATGCCTCCTTGCATCATTGTAGCCAACTGTGATGAGAGATAAGAAGACAAAGACTGACGGTCTCTCCAAACACTTGCTACAGACAGAATCTCAGTCCCAGGATTCCTAACTCTGTCTAAGGCACCACTTCTGGTCCATCTCACAAGGCAGAAAATAAAACACAACTTAAAAACTTAGACACAAAAGGTTGCTCTTAAATTTCCCTCAACATATCTCTACGTGCATGAGAAACAGAGAGTCTTCTTGAGCTCCTTGAATATTAAGTTCCAAAATGACATCGTGACCTACACAAAGCTTAGGAAGACAAATACAGGAACTCATTTTGAAGACGTAGAATACTTTAAGAATATATATTTAATTCCATAGCAATTGTGCTAAATCTGACAGGATTTAGCTCACTCTACACATAAAGGGGAGCACAAGGTTTTGTGACACATTCAAAATTATATAATTGTCCAAACTTTTAACTAAATAATAGTTTGAATTCACTGAAATGACTCAGTGAAATGATACAATCACATATGGCAAGAGTGTCCAAACTTTTTCCTGAAGGGGCAGAGAGCGAATATTTTAGGCTTGTGGGCCACATGGTCTCTGTCACAGCTACTCAACTTTACCACTTAGAGTGAAAGCAACAGGTAATGAATGAACATGGCTATGTTTCAAAAACAGGTGGCCAGCCCACAACCTATAGTTTGCTGATTGCTGACATACAAATTCACTTTCGGGCCTAATCTTTGATCTGTAGGAGATTATGACAATGGGAATATAAAATGAAGTAAAACCACATAAACCTGATTCAGCTTTGATAGAGATTCATCTCTGATCTAAGAAAGTATGACTCTGACACAACAGTCACTGGTCATTGTTCAATTTTTGTCTTTCTACACAAAGACACATTTCCACTGGGGACCCTTGTGAGAGTAGTTGTGTGGCTTAATAAGAAAAGTGAGATTATAAAAGTACTCACAATGTTTATTTTCCTATGGTTTAAAAGTTACATTCTTACTCTTTAAAAACCCTCTGCAAAGCCCTAACCGGTTTGGCTCAGTGGATAGAGCATCGGCCTGTGGACTGAAGGGTCTCGGGTTCGATTCCGGTTAAGGGCATGTACGTTGGTTGTGGGTGCATCCCCAGTAGGGGGTGTGCAGGAGGCAGGTGATCAATGTTTCTCTCTCATCGATGTTTCTAACTGTCTATCCCTCTCCCTTCCTCTCTGTAAAAAATCAATAAAATATATTTTTTAAAAAAGCCCTCTGCAAAGATAATCACAAAGGGTATATTTAAGATTACTCACCCAAATCTTGCCAGAGATGCTAAAAAGGCCAGCCATTCCAGACATCCTAAAAAACAGAGAGAAGGAGAACCATTGGTGATGCATACTGTGAAAAAAACAAAAACTCAGGTCACAAGGATCCGCCCTTCCACTCTGCAATACATTGTCCTCTCTCCTGGATTTACTTGTGTTCATACAGAGCTTCAGCTCCACAGCCATCATTTCAGTCACTGCTGTAAATACATTCAAATCCCCTGGCCCCTTCTCCCTCCACTGTATATACCTGGCAAAACCCCAACTGTGGGCACTGCAGGTCTCTGGGGACAAATCAGCTGACTGCTCTTCCTTCAGTCACAAACCTGTTTGTGCCTCAGTACTGCACTTTCAGGCTCTACCTGCCAGGACAGCTCTTGTGCTTTTCCCTTTCTTCACACCCTTCCACCCTCTTCTCCCCATTCACTCTCAGCTCACACTCCTCACATGTCACTGTGAAATCAGAAGCCATTATGTGATCTCTCTTATCTGCTCACCACCCAATCTGAGCCTGGGGTTCACCTGCATGCACCTTCTCTTGTTTCCACAGAGAAAGTCTATCTGCCCTCCTCCTCTTGGCCTTGGATCCCACCCCTTTGGCTTATTAACGTCTTGGTTCTTTTTGCCAGCCCCTCTGCCTGCATCAGCAACTTCTTCCTTTCTGCTGGGTCATTCTCATGGGCATGAAAACATACTCTACCTTCTCCATCTTTTAAAAGAGTGACCTTGGACCCTCCAGCTTCTCTTCTCCAAGGAGTAGGCCACACTTGTTTCTTCTTCCTTACTGTACCTTTAACCCATTTGAATCTGCCCCTGCTCTCACTACTGCAGTGTCACTAGTTGTGAAAGCCACAATGACCTTGCAATTGCTTCATTCAACGCCCATGTCTCAGACTTGACCTTCTTTCACCTCTTGGTAACAGGACACAGGCCTACTCTACACTCGTGAGCACCTAATTTACTTGGCTTCCGGGAAACCAATAACCCTGCTTGTCCTCCTGACTCACTGGTACTCATTTTCAGTTTCTTGACTCCTTTTGCTGACTCCTTCTCTTCTTAATTGTGGGTGTCATGTGGCTAGGCCCCAAGTACTTTTCTCTCAATCTTTAGGGGATCTCCTCCCTCCCAAGGCTTTAGATACCATGTATATGTTTTGTATTTGTGTTACTGAATTTGTGTTTTGAATTTGTGTTACTGTCCAAGGACCCATCTCCATACATCCAACTTGACAGCTCTACAAAGAAATCTGCATCTCAAACTTAACACATTTAACACTGAACCCTTGCTTTTCTCTTGCTCAAACCAGTAAGATTCAAACCAGAAACCCAAGAGATTTTTTGTAAATCTTCCCTCTCCTTCACCTTAGCCAAGTCTACCTGCAAAGTATTTTAAATCCACCCATTCTCTCCATCCCACTGCTGCCACCCTGCTATGCACCAGCACCATCCCTAGGCTAGACAGGGCAACAGCCTCCTAGCTGTCTGACCTCATCCTTGCCCTCCCAGTCTCTTCTCCGAAGAGCCACCATGTCATTGCACGCACTGATAGCATCCAGGTTCCTCAATGTGGTCAAAGGCCTGTAGGAGCTGGCTCCTGCCTGCCCCTCTTTCTCAGCTTATATACTAATATATACTACTCTCCCCACCAATCACCATCTTGACCCCGGCACCTTCCTGCTCTCAGCATACCAAGCTCTTCCAAACTGGGGCCTATCCCCATGTCACACTGATTCCTGGGAATATTCCTCCCCTGCTCTGCATGCACCTCAGTTGATCTATCCTTCAGGTCTCGCTACTGTCCTTCCCTCAGAGCGACCTCTCCTCGTCCCTCATCCAACAGAGGTCCCTGCCCCACAGTTATTCCCTGCCTTAGTAAACATTGTTTTTGTTTGTTTTGTTTTGTTTGAAACAGCCTACAATTCTTTGTATCTCTATTTTTTTTCCTCAATCTGCTTTACTTTCAGCTGCCTGAGGGGAGCAGAAGTACATGCCCATCTTTTTCACTTTTGAATATCTAGCAGCTGGAACAGTATCTGGCATAAACTCATCTCCAATACTGGTAGAATGAAAGCTGCTTTTACGGTAGACTAAATTACGTATTTCCAGAGTATTACATAAGTGCTATTTACGTGATGTATTCCTGAAATATTACATCATTTAATCCTTTTTCAGCAAGGATATTCCCTATACTTGTATATATTAACAAAATTAATTGCAAATATGATAACTCATTCATAACTAAAACCAACTATGGGAAAAGTTATTATGGATTGGCCCTATCTACCTCACCAATTATTATGTAGTTCACCCTCATGGTTGTAAGTTACCCAGCAATATTCCGCTGGGTAGTTAAAGACACCACAGGTTTTATTTTCCACATTGATACGAGAGTAATTCCTTCATAAACTATAATTCAAGAAAGAGCCACTTCCATATCTTATCAATAATTTAAAAGGAAGAAAGAATGATAACTGTGTTCAATACCATATTTTCTAAAGAGAAAAAAAGTTGGCCCTGACCGGTTTGGCTCAGTGGATAGAGCGTCGGCCTGCGGACTGAAGGGTCCCAGGTTCGATTCCGGTCAAGGGCATGTACCTCGGTTGCAGGCACATCCCCAGTGAGGAGTGTGCAGGAGGCAGGTGATTGATGTTTCTCTCTCATCGATGTTTCTAACTTTCTATCCCTCTCCCTTCCTCTCTGTAAAAAATCAATAAAATATATATTCAAAAAAAAGAGAAAACAGTTGGTTGGTGTGGCTTAGTGAAAAAGTTAGGGGTGACTTTCTGCAACCCACCTGAAGCTGGACACTTACTTCCCAGTATACTCACAACTAGCTGAAACACGTGGGCCATAAAACCCAAAACATACATGGTCTAAGCATGGTCATATGTAGCTTGGGTAATCAGAAGTGAATATGAAGAAAAACGGAGACTTTCAAGGTCCATGAACTGTTCACTTGATACTGCTTGTTTCATTAATAGGCCCCATTAGATAAAAATTACAAGTTACGTTAAAGAAGCCGGGTACTTCCAGCCAGTCAGAGGCTCAACTGATTGCCACTTCTTCTCTAAGATATAATTCTGCAGGTCTTCGTAGATTCCTGGGCCACGGTAACGGCGGAATATCCCGTCCTTTGCACTATAAATTATAAAAACAAATAGAAAACACACAGATTAAATAACAAGTGTTGCAGATAACAAAAATAACTATTGGTTTTACATGTGAACTACACTCTGAATTTTAACTTGGCTTAAATAGAGAAAAAATTATAGCTAGGCATAAATAAGGAAGCACGCGTAAGTATTAATCTATTACAAATGAGAAATTGAAAAAAGCATTAAACGTTCTAATTTATCACTGCAAAATTCACGAGCATAAGCAAAGTTCTTGCCAAGTTACTTTTTATTATTTTTGCTACCAAGTATTTCAAGTTTCTCTTATAACAGCAAAACAGCAGTTGTTATTAAGTTTTAAAAACTGTCTCTACATTTCCAAATTTTATCATTTAAGTCCCTCCTTGAAAATGAACAAAACACCATCTCACATGCCCCTTTAGTCTTCCCCCTCTCCTGCTTTCTCCCCAGTCAAGCTTCCTAAGAGCAGAGTCTACATTCACCATTTTCTCTTAAGATATTACTCATTCACAATCCGTGCGACTTAGGGTTATACTTCCACGATTCCATGGAAACTGCTCATATGGAGGAGAGTCCCCAGTGACTCTGAAGCACCACATCCAGGCAGCACTTTTCTTTTGTCTGGCACTGGCACTGCCCACAACTGAACACGCCTTCTTCCCTCTCTCCCTTGGCCTTTGAGCTCTCTGGACTTCTTCCTCCTATTCTGACCACTCCTCCTCGTTCCTCACTCCCTGTCCTAAGGCTGGTCAACCCCAAGTTTTATCCATGACCTACTTCTATTCCTGTTGCATACATTCTCTCTAAATATATTTTAACTCTTAACTTGATTCTGGGAAATTCCCAATATGTATTTCCAGTCTAAATCTTTTGAGCTTTAGATCCTCAAATCAGACTATCACCTAAACTTTTCTATTTGAAATTAGCATAGTTACTTTACACTATCTTCTCCATTTTGGCCTCTATCTTCCAAACCTTATCTTATTCTAATAGCTCCTCAATAGCTTTTACTAGTGACACATGGCCTATCCGTAGTCATCGCAGGCTTTTCCTTCCTTATGGCTAATTGGTCACCAAGTCCCAATGATCCCACCTCCCAAGCATCTCCAGAACCCACCCCTTCCTTTCTCTTCCCCCTCTCACTATCTGAGCCTCCCTAACATCACATCACCCAGGATGACCCATACAGAACTCATTACAGTTCTCAGAAGGTAGCTCATTTTCTTCTGGGCTTATCCATGGCATCTCCTGTATCTGGAAAGGTCTCTCTACCTTGTCTATTTAACCAATTCCAACATATCCTTTAAGAATCATCCCACCTTTTATGTCATCAGAAAAATCTTCTTTGACCCCACGCCCACCCCCCACCTTCAATTAGCTGCCTGCAGCACTCTGAGCATCCCTCTCTTCTAATAGCTATCATTCCCACAGAGCTGTCTTTCTCCTCCAAATGTTAAGCTGAATGTGTAATGGTTATGGAAATCAACTTAGAATTCTTGGTACACATCTACCGATTTATAATATTTGCAAGCCCAGAAAATTATTTCAACTTACTGAAAAAATGCTGGGAGAGTGGTGACAAAGAAGCGGCCACTCAAACCTACAAGAAGCATAAACAAAAAAAGTTACAAGTCAAACTCTGACTAACCCAAGCAGCTAACTTAATTTATAAGAACAAGCAACCTAAGATGACCTGCGTGTGCGTGTGTGTGTGTGTGTGTGTGTGTGTGTGTGTGTGTATTTCAGAGAGGAAGGGATAGGGAGACAGAGATAGAAACATCAATGATGAGAAACACTAATTGGCTACCTCCTGCACTGGGGATTGAGCCTGCAACCTTGGCATGTGCCCTGACCAGGAATTGAACCATGACCTTCTGGTTCATAGGTCAGTGCTCACCACCACCCACTGAGCCATGCTGGCCAGGTGAGCTTGCTTTTATATCACAGAATTAAGTCACATACACTATTTATTTTTTTGACTTAAAGAAATTTCATTTTTACTCATTTTCATTACCTAATGCATTCCAGTCAGTGACATACAACTTGCTTATTCTGATGTTACATAGGAGTTTTCTGGTTTGTGTATCACTTAGAATTTTATGATGGCTGACAGAACAGGTTATAGTCATGTAATGACTATATGACCTGAGATAAATTACTTAACCTTTCTGACCTTAGATAAATTGCTTAACTTTTCTAGTCTCAGTGACCTCCTCTAGAAAATGAGCATATTAAAGCCTAACTGAATTGTTCTGAAGTTACACTAGCTCAGTATATTAAGTACTTACTAGTAGCACATAGTAAAGGACTCAGTCAATAAATTACAGGTATTATTAGATCAGATGTAGGTTTTAAAATAATAACGAATCTGAAATAATAAGATCATGTTTAATCTTTGCACACTTATAAAATTTGCAAGTACTGTCCAGGGACAGTACATTAAACAGATTTTCTCAAATTTTCAGTAAAGCAAACCTTTATTGAACATTAACTAGACATCGAACGCTATGCGAAGTACATGTGAAAACAAAGACAAATACAACCCTTAATAAGTCAGCAAATCTTTACTAATTACCTTTGTTCCCGGGACTGTGATAACTACTAAGACACAAAGATAAGTAAAAACATGTCCAGTCTTTGTTCTCACAGAGCTTACAGTCTGGTTAGTGGCAGAGGGAAAGACCTTGATACTTACCATCATAACTCTAAACAGATAGATGATATCAAGAAAGGGGCATGCAACAGAAGTCTGAATGAGACTAGGAGTAAGAACAAATCCCTGCTCTTTATATGTTTACAAATAAAAACATTTCCATGGGCACCGAGAATGAGCGAGCCTGGTACTGGCAAAGAGGAGAGGGAAAGGATGTTCCTGGCCAGCATGGGGAAATGACAGCCATGATTTCCACATTTCTCATCACTTCTGACTTTCCCACTGAAGAACCATTTGGACAAAATCAAAATCTATTCAAATAAAGTAGATCAAATGTCACATCTTTGTGGTTATTTGAAACGCTCAAGGTTTACTTTCAATAACATACAAAAGTTGCTTATACCCATTGTATAAATTAAATTTTATTCAGCATGATAATTTATTGATTAGTGATGAGTCTTTCCAAAGAAGAAATTGCTTTTTTTCTCCCTCATATCAAACCAAGCAGACTCTAAAATAGCTCTATGGCACTTAAAGAACACACATTACTATGAAGGCAGTGAAAGTCAATGCTACAGCCGAACCGGTTTGGCTCAGTGTATAGAGCGTCGGCCTGCGGACTCAAGGGTCCCGGGTTCAATTCCGGTCGGGGGCATGTGCCTTGGTTGCGGGCATGTCCCCACTGGGGGGCGTGCAGGAGGCAGCTGGTCGATCTCTCTCATCGATGTTTCTAGCTCCCTATCCCTCTCCCTTCTTCTCTGTAAAGGATCAGTAAAATGTATTTTTAAAAAAAAGTCAATGCTACAAAAAGAAACATTTACTACATACATTTATCATTGTACATCTTTTTAAAGGTTGTACTGGCAGTAACAACACCACAAGTGACCTGAGAAGTCAACTGAGACTGTTAGCAAGCATGTCTGTCTGCAGGGCATTTTCACCTCTAACACTGCTTGGAATTCCACGCTAGCAGGGAACATGGGTATCTTTTCATTTATTTTCAACTCTAAACTGCCAGGGGGAAAAGTGTTGGTAATCCTAAGGGCTTAAAAATTACTATATGCTTAAAATAATTATTATAAACAATTTCACAGCTCACTTCTTTACTAGCTAGAGATTCCTATGATCACCCAAGTTTCTATGTTAGAAAAGTGACAATGTTAGCGTATTATGCTTTATTTAGATGATCTTTTAAAATGGAATGAATAAATAGCATGTCACCACTTCTTCAAGTTTCTATTTAGGTCTTACATTTATTAAAATACATAGATAGGATTTCTAATAAATGTTATCAGTGAAGACAATATTTTTAACCTTTCTTTAAAATCCTGCAAATGTTCCTGGTCATCACTGGCCATGGCAATAAGTTAAAAAGTAAACAATAAATACATAAAATACTTCATAAAACACAGTAAGTTATATAATATACAAAATAATATTTCCAGTGTCACAGACCAGCTTACCTGTGGTCAAACCCCACTTCTGCCTCTTATTTGATTTTAACCAAAGACATTAAATCTGTCTGGGCTTAGGTTTTCTTATTATAAATAAGCATCATGATTTCTCATACTATTTTGGTATTAAATGATTTTACATTTATAAAGAACATAGAAAACAGTACCTGATATATAAGTACTAAATACTAGTTATTATTTCATATTTTTAAATCTCTGATTCAAAGTTGAAGTAAAATGAAAGCCTATAACAAACACAAACTAATTTATTGTTAAGTGCTTTGGAAATTGTACATTATTTTGGATAATATAACATTTTCACTAATAAATGTGCTAATGGAAATCAATGAGTACAGAGAAAATAAGAGAAATACAGTGACAAATGGTCTCAGATTTTTGTTTTAGGCTAGAAGGTATAGGATGCATGTTCCCAAAATTGCTAGGTTAAAGGGTATAAAAATGTTTTAGCTTTTAATATGAATTGCTATTTTGTTTTTTTGTAATGATGATATCAATATACAAAACTGCTAATTAAGGTTCATTGAAAATAATGACCATTATTAACAAATGGTTGCACCTCAAGATTGCTTCATGTTTGTTAATATTTTTTCAAATGACAACCCATGTGGGACAGTAACAAGGTTACAACATCTAACTCAGATATGAGTTGTTTGCTGTCTGGGATAATATATTGTCACTGACGATGTATTCAGTAAAATCAATAACAAAATCTAGAGCAACCAAAGTAGTCCTTGGATTGTGACAACTACTAAACCCTTAAATATCTGACACCATAGAAAACTGATCTCAAATAAATGTCACTTCTGAGAGGCTGAAAGATGTCAGAAAGCTCTGAGTCTCATGCCAGCGCTCCAAAAATGTCTTCTAACCTTTAACACTGATGTTATGAAGTTTCAAGGGAGACATTCATTACCTTAAAAGTTAAAAACATGATCAACAGAGAAGCACAATCTTAGGTTATGGTCTCAGGGTTTAAAAACAAGTTAAATGTGGATCTTAAGGAATATAATAACAACATGGGGGAAGCTCCTTTTAAGGTTTGAGTGATGGTTCACTGCAACAAACATCAGTAAGCGGGGAAGAAACAAGTGCACTCAAACCTTCAAGTAAGAGAGAACGTTTGACCACAGGCCTTCCAAAATTCCTACAGGCCTGCCCTTTTTACTTTAAGGGCCAACTACCATCTTAAAATGAAGACTATACTGCAACATAAAAGAGGCATTAATCCAAAATGCAGAAAAAAACTTATTAGCAACTATATCTTAAACATTTAGCAAAATAAAAAGAAATGTTAAAAGACTAGAGAGAAAATTATGACAGGGAACTATATTTTGATAGGCAGAAGCACAATAGAAATTACTTGAGTTCTAGATTAAGAAAATGGGGATAGCTACTGGCTTTTGCTTCACCATTTATTAGCTGTTTTACCTTGGACATGTGACTTAACCTCTCTGAGCCTTAGTTTTTTAAAGAGTATAGAGAGAAACAGTCTATTCTTCCTAGGGTTGTTATGAGCCTGAAATGTATATAAGTGCTTAACACACTTAGAGGCTGAAGTAAATGTTTAAGTATTAATTAGCACTAAAGAAAGAAGCAAAGGAAAAACAATAAATAAAAAGTAGATTAAACCTTATCTTTGAGGGCAATAAATAGAATAAAAAAGGATCAGTTTTATAATTATAAAATTAAAATATTAACACTAACTGAAGTACAATAAACTAAATTGGCTTCTGAAATTAATGGTTTTAATCATAAAGCTTACTCTTTCTTGGCTGTTGCAGGGGTCTGGTTTACCTCTAATCTAGTGACATAGCCATCATCCATGGATGCTCTATGAGCAGCTACTGTTTTCCTGTCTTTGACAACTAAGCTTATCTGCATGGAACAGAAGGTTCAAGTATATATTCATACGTAGTAAATTTAATTTCCCAAAGTCAACAACTGAAACATCATCTGGTCTATGCAATATTAAACAGGCAATGTAATGTCTAATCTAAGGTCTGTCCTTCCCGTGACTTCTACAGCTCAACTGTAAAAATATAATGTATTTCTAATTCCCAGTCTTTATAATTCTGAAATCCTAAAAATATTTCTTATTAAATATACCAATGGAATAGTTAGAGGAATAACTAAAGAATTATGCATGAATACTTCAAAATTCTTCCTTTCCCTTCTTTTTAAATTTTGCAGAGAAAAGAAATGAAATTATCCCTAGTTAGCAGCCCTGATGAAAGAATATACTAATAGAGACCTATAACCAAATATAAATCTGTACACACCAATATCTAATAAAGTGCTCAAGTGTGAGAAAAATAGTAACATTTCAATGGCTTCCCACTGCTTGTTCAGGACATTAGATTCTGTAAAAATAAAATAAATAATCAAATAGCTTCCAAAAATAGGAATAGGCACCCTAGAGGCTTGCCAGTGAATTAATACTACATAAGGCCAAAGACCTTTTGTTCCTTCTTCTTTGATAAATATTTCAAATATATATTGCTTGTATTTACATAAACAGCATGAGTCAATAAATTTCTTTTTAAAATATTCCATCATAATTTGTTACCTCTTTAAAAAAATGCATAAATCAATCTACAATAGAAAAAATAAGTCAAACATATTAGATGAAAATACTATATTCAATTAGACTTTAGATTTGTGAATCCATCACAAAGCTGTTAAATTCTTTTATTTCAAATCATGTTGTGAATTCACAGCAGCTATACCAAATGACTAAAATGTGTATAGGCCAGCTGTATTTTCAAGAAACTCCTCAAAAAATGTGTCTGATGCCCACTAATGAATAAGTCTTACACCTGACTTCTGGAATCAAACTACTAAAAGATGAAAACAAGTGTACAGCAAAAGTGTAATTGCAATGATTTGACCTCTAAACAGAATAATTCATTATAATAGCCAAAACCATAAACTAATAAATATAATTTTCCATCTCTAAATAGCAGATGTGCAAAAGTGGCTTTGATTCCAATGCTTAAAAAGGTGGATGGAGGCCTGAGGAATAACGGCTTTTAATAGAAACCTCTCTACATGGGTTTGCCAACACAAGGATCTTAACAGACATGGTCAATTTTGTTATCCAAGTAACTACTAATTCAATACTCTGTCTTTTTTTATTTTTAATTCTTTATTGTTTAAAGTATTACATGAGTCTCCTTTTCCCCCTATTGACATCTCCCAGCCCACCCCCACCCCCCAGCACAGGCATCACCCCCTACTGTCTGTGTCCATTGGTTATGCTTATATGCATGCATTCAAGTCCTTTGATTGGTTTCTTACCTATCCCCACCTCCCCCCTCCCCCCTTACCCTCCTTCTAAGGTCTTTTTTGAACTCACAATTATTACAGAAAGGTAATAGCTACATTTCCATACCTACTTTCTTTTTTATCTGTGTAAAGGAACACAATAGAAAATAAATGTAAATAGGAAAAAATGCCTAATAAAGTTTGAAAATAGTCAAATTTGAAACTGGAATCATAAACACCCAACTTTTATTTACAGTTATTTTTAAACTACAAATACAAATTGTGTGTATCTTTTAAAGAATTTAAAAGATTCCTCTAGCCTCCTCCTCTTTACACCATTTAACCATTTAACAGATAATAAATATAGCTGACACAACAGAATTTGAAATTCATCATTCTGGAACTCACAATGAAATATTTTATTCAGGTAAGATCATTATGTATCTCAAAACCCTAAAGTATCACCCCACAGATTACCTGCCAATCACAAAGTGGGATCTTTTCTTTATAATTGAGATGTTTAGTGTCCTCACTTTAACCAAGTGCTCAAACTAAACATTACTAACAGTGATAGTACATGTCTTCTGATGGCATCTATACTAATAAAAGGGTAATATGCTAAATAGACCAGACATCCTTCCGGACAAAGCCACAGTGGCGGGGGCCAAGACAGAGGCAGGTAGGGGGTGATCAGGCTGGCAGGGGAGGGCAGTTAGGGACGACCAGGCAGGCATGCAGAGTGGTCAGGGATGATCAGGCAGGCAAGCAGGTTAGCTGTTAGGAGCCAGCGGTCCTGGATTGTGAGGGGTCCTGGACTGGAGAGGGTACAGGCTGGGCTGAGGGACTCCTGCCCCTCCCTCTGTGCACGGATTTCATGCACTGGGCCTCTAGTCTATATATATAAAAGGCTAAGCAACCATCCAACCATCCAACCAACTGGCTGATAGGTATGACATGCACTGACCACCAGGGGGCAGATGCTCAACGCAGGAGCTGCCGAGCTGCAGTGACTTGGCAGTGGTGGTTCCTGAGTGAGTGCCCTGGAACCAGAGAGGAGGGAGCCCAATCCCCATAGGCCAGGCCAAGGGACCACCACCTGCCCTAGGGACCCTTCGAGATGCCCTTCGAGCCCTGGCGCTGCCCCAGGTGCGGCTGGCTGGGGAGGAACCGCGGGAGGTTGGCTCCAGGGTGTGTCCAGCCCATCTCACCCAGTCCCACCTCACAGTCCACCTTTCTATGTGCATGAATCTGTGCACCCGGCCTCTAATAAATTATGAAGCACAGTATCACCTATGAAATATTCTTGCCATACATGTCCAACCTGAATCATGCCTCTAGAGTCTAGGCTGAACTTCAAGTTCATAGAAAATATAAGAAAACACCTAGGCACACCTCTGGCCTATTCTCTTCAGAATATCAGAGGACTGTTCTAACTAAGGGCGATTGAAAACACTTAACAACCAAATGCAAATGGTGAACCTTGATTAGATCCTGGTTCCAAAAACTATTAAAAGACATGTGGGAAATAATTAGGGAAATTTTAATATGCCAAAGTATTGAAGGTAAAATCATGATGTCTGCAACTTATTTTCAAATGACTCAGCAAAAGAAAATAATTTTAAAAATATTTATATGTGTAAACACACACATACATAGACAGACCCAGATATGCCAGAATGTTATCTATTGATTCTAGATGGTCAATTCATGAGTATCACAACTTTTCTATATATTTGAAAAAAATTCAAACTAAAAAGTAACGAACATTTGCCTTTAATGTTCAACATTTACAGTACCTGGTTCTTGAATGACATCTACCTTCCCCACACTGATATGAAGGAGTTCACCATTCTTTGCAAATGTCTCCCATTCTGAATCAGTCTGCTGGCAGGATGGACACCAAGGGGCATAACTAAAAAGAAGAATAGCTAATCAATATAAAACATGGAAAACATCTGTAAAACAGACAAATTATCTAAGTTAAAAAAATAAATATCTGTCTAAAAGGAAGCACAAAATCAAGCTTTTCCAAAGTCATTTGATATAGAAAAACAAAAAGATATTTCCCTAGAATTTAATGTATGAAGATTAATTCACTGGGAAGAAATTAGCCAAAGTTTGAGGAGATTTTCACAAACTACTGTAATACATAAAATACTTTATTTCAATGTTTTTCTTACAATCAACCCAAATTTTGTCACTTTCTAGGTAGCTTCTGATTTTTGAGGGAGAATACTATTTTGACTGCACACTAAAGGAGGACAATTTTCACAAGGACATCCCTAAACTAGCCAAACCAGTTCCAGGTCCATCATAACTACAGAGCTGATGAGCAGAGACCAGAACATCTGTTACTAGTGGGTTCCCAAATATTTATGCGAGTCATTTCCAAAGATCTGCAGCAGTTCTGAACCAGTCCAAGAAAGAAAGTAGAAGCTATGGGCTAAACCAGCTTTACCCAACACTTTCTTAAAGAGAAGAGAAGTTAGAAATAAGTGGGACTTCAATCAGAACCCTGGTTTTTACATTTATTTATTTTATTCGATAAATGTGAATTGCACACAATGCTGAAGCTGAGGTTACAACTGTGAACAAGACAGATGTGGTACCCCCCTCCCTCTCCTTGTAGATACAATCCAGAGGTGAACACTGGCCAGCACAGGGATTATGAACAAGCCTGGTGGCAAATGCCATGACTGAGAGTATGGGACAGATGCTGTGTAGACACTCAGGAGCTGGGTGGTCTCAGAAGGGCCCACAGAGGAAAATGCATCTGTGCTAAGTTCTAAAGTAGGGGCATAAGCAGAGAGGGGTCGAAGAATGTTCACTTCTAAGTAAAGAGAACAATGTGAATGAAGCTCAGAGTAATGAGAGAGGAGGGTGAAGACATCATCCACAACCTTTGAAAAAACTGTATAAAGAGTTAGGATTGTATTTGAAGCTCCATGGTAAACCCTCAAGAGTAAGAGAATTATGATTAGATTTCTATTTTTTAAAAATAACTGGGCAGTTTGTGAATAACGGATCAGGGAAGTCTAAGGTGAAAGTCAAGGGAAGAACTGGGAGCCTGGGCCATCCTCCTGGCAATATGCTATGGCCTTACAATGCTTTCCCACATCCTGGAAAATATTACAAACACTCACACCACAAAGCTCCAAAGTGTTCCAGGATTTCACCTGCAGATATAAAATGGAAATCCAGCGAAATTTGCTGTTTAGAAAGAATGTACAGTGGATCTAATAGTATCCTCTAAAACAGTAGTTCTCAACCTTCCTAATGCCGCAACCCTTTAATATAGTTCCTCATGTTGTGGTGACCCCCAATTTCATTGTTACTAATTGAACATAATTAAAGCATAGTGATTAATCACAAAAACAGTATGTAATTACATATGTGTTTTCCGATGGCGACCCCTGTGAAAGGGTCATTCGACCCCTAAAGCTGTCGCGACCCACAGGTTGAGAACCGCTGCTCTAAAAAGATACAAAAAATACATAAGTACAAGTACCAGTGAACATCACCTAATTCGGCTTAGGAGACCAAGTGTGGGTCATGGAGCA